AAAAGCCAACTTGGGACAACACGATAAGTGTTCGAAAGTGTCAATGGGCAAGATCCCCAAATAATGTCTGGCTCTCAGGCATGCGCTGTCGAGAGGAGCGACGCAATAAGATTCCACTGTAGGGTAGGGCCAACACACAGGGAAGTCACAGATACGTATACCCACATACGTATGCTTGAATAAGTGATCATACGGATAAAAACAACAAACTGCACATCCAACCTCCTGGTTACGTGGCTATGTACAGAAGTCAGAGGTTCGAATGACAGTGGAGGAGACCAGACCCGCCATGAGAAGAATGAAGATCAAACGAGCAAACTCAGCTGCATCTGTTCCGTTGCCTGAGACTGAGTGAGAAGCTGGTCAGGCAAGATCTAAAGTTGCTCGCTATTTAGTCAATACCTAGCGAGGAAAACAGCTTGGGGGTGCAGAAAGCCCTGATATCGATATTAATCAAAGGGGCCAGAAAATTTTCTGCTGAGTTTAGACAGACGGGAAAAGTAAGCATGAAGTGGCGAAAAGAGCGAACAAGTGATATAAGAAATTGTGGGAGTTGTGCAGTCTGCTGCCTGGGTGACTGGGAGATCAGTCTGACAAAGATCACGATGGCTGGGTGAAATTTACAAAATAGACCAGCCCAATCATGCGCAGCCCAGGTTGATGGAAGAATATAGAAGTGTGCTTTTGTAGGATTGATGGACGTATATATAGGGAAGATTTAGAGAAAGAGTGAAGGTAAGGGATTTGGCGCGGGGTCAGCTGGCCGGCGCAGGGCCTCCAGAAGATGACTGGCTGTTTGGTTGATTGGTCTGTCCGAGCAGACGACTGGGTGCCATGCCACTACCAGCGCCACCACTGCTTCCGCTGGTGCCAGTCGAAGACTGGGTGGAAAGCAGAATGGTTGGAGTGGAAAGAACGCCAGGTGGCGCGTTGGATCCCACCGAGGTGGATGTGCTGATACTACTACTGCAGTTACTGGCAGCAGCTGCACTCGACATCGCCGCGACAATAGGGCCCCGTCCAGCTGTGTTTGGCACAGTCATAGTAGGAGATGCAGTGACTGAGGTTTGAGGACTGGAAGTTAGAAGAAAGGGCTGTGACTGAGCACTAACCAGTTGCGATTGGTGGACCTGGGCATGCGGATGTGAGTGGCTATGCGGGAGGGTAGAATGACTGTGAATCTGTCCCTGAGTTTGGACATGTGCATGCGAATGCTGGTGAGAATGAGAGGCTAGAATATGAGCTTGAGGCTGGGATTGTGGGGTAGTCAGAGAGCCAGTGCCTGCTGGCCGGAAATGCATCAACGTGCCGGCATTGACAGGGGTTGTGGAGATTACTTGGTGGCCGGAAATTTGTTGTTGCTGTTGCTGGGCATTTTGAAGAGAAACGGAAGAGGGTGCGGAATTTGTATTACAGCCATTAGTGAAAGTGGTGGTAGTAGTAGTGCTTGTTGTACAGCCTCCGGATCCGCCAGCTAGAGGGGCAGGAGCATTTGTTGGAACTAAGCCAGGTCCTTGCCCAGAACTTGCTTGCAGGTGCGAATAAATCTGTGTCTGACCGATACTGGTAGCCTGAATATGGTTTGCAGATTGCTGCTGCTGTTGCCCAGAAATCGAGGACTGGTGCTGAACTGTAAGTCCATTGTTCACATTAGAGGAGACTGTCCGAAATCGAAACTGTTGTTGCGGAATAGGGGCAGATGATGATGCCATTAAAGTAGGCTTTCCGGACAGATGGGGTTGCAGCATCGTTGCTACGGGGCCATTAAGCGAGGAAACGGAGCCAGTGGAGATTGCCGTGCCTGGAGGTAATGAAGAGGAAGAGGTGATGTTCGAGGCGATTGGAGCTAAAGTCGCGGGACCCGGCTGTGACTGTTGTATTACCCACTGTACAGGAGGGCCGCCCGAACCAGCTTGACTGACCGGCACGAGGCTGGCAACAGGCACAGGTGCTGCTGATAACTGGCCAGTCGAGCCGGAAGTGACAGCGGACATCGGGGTATTACCGATGGTAGAGGAGATAGGAGTGGAAGCGGTAGATGATGAGACAGGTAGACCAGCAAGAGGAATCAAACTAGATGAGGAGCCAGAGGATAAAGGGACCTGGACACCTGATGAGGATACGGAAGAACCGGCTGCACCTATTGGTGCGGCTGCAGAGGCTGCAGCGGCTGCGGCCAGACGCTGTTGCTGAGCTCGCTGACTTGCTTGCTTGTTCTGCGAATGCAGCGCAAAGAAAGCGGGATGATATTCTGGATGCCGCTTAATCCAGGAGATGAACTAATAATAGTAAAAGTTGAGACCATGAGTCATCAAGCAAGGCAGCTAATACTTCACTGAATTTCAAACCATAGGTATATAAGTAAATAAAATAATTTTAAAAATGATAATCTTAGAATCCTGTGGGCTTATAATATGCTCCCATACCGAAATCTGATCTAGAATCAAAGGTAAATTTTGTTTATGAAGCGGCCGAATATACTCAGATTTGAGACCGTAAAGGAAGATTTTATCCCAGATAAAAATAACAAGAAAAAGTCAAATGCATGTACTCAATGGCGTGGAAATGATGCCAGCTTGATAGAATTTAATTTTTGGCTGTTTTTTCCTATTGCCAAATCAATCCTAGCCTCAATCTGAGTCATTCATCCCCGGTCCGTTGCGCAGCAAATCGATTGAATGTCTGCTTTGATTTCAATGTAAATTGTATCTAATGTAAGTTTTATGACAGCGTGACCTAGATTTGGCAAACAAACTGTATTGGCTGAAATACATATTATCTTCACATCTTATGCTTGAAAAGTATACGGCAAAGATGAATGTTTCAATAAAATTTCGAGCTGATTCACAATTTGGTCCTGTTGCAGTAAAATGATACTAAATTGGAGATTAATTGGGGATAGAAGAAACATTGCTGAAACATCAACCTACAATATTGGGCTTTGCATCGCACTCGTGGCAATAGTTGATGATCACAACTATGCAACTTAAGGATAAAGTAAGCTTGTGCTGGTAGTTAAGATTATTAAAAATTTATTAAAGTACCAGTTATCAGATATTTTTAAATGGTTCGCTTGATAGATGCGATACGGTTAATAAGCAGTTTAGGTCAACATTAAAAAATATGAGGGCAAAATTAGGTGGCAAGGTGTAGAGATCAGCTGATGTTTCCTATATTTATATATAAATGTGTTTACATATATCTATCGGTAAAGGATGTTGCCTTTGAGATAAGACAGAATATTTTTAGTAAGTTGTAAGTTAGTGTAGACTGAAAAAAATTCAAGTAACGCTTTGCATATCAAATAGTAATATATCTGAATCAAGCGTTAAAAGTAACTCGTGTACATAATGAGTAGGACCATTACAAACGTCTAAGCATTTATAAATAAATGATGTGGATAATTTAGCCAAGTAAATAGAATTATTAAGATAATGAGCAACTAGAACATTAAAATAGGAGACTAAATAACTCATATGGTAAAATTAGTTGACATATTAGGTTAGAGAAATACATATTCACCTGTTTATTCTGCTCTTCTGTACTGGCCCCAGTGGCTTTGATCATAGTGATCACTTGGTTGACCTGAGCTATCTCTTCAGGGGTTGCTTTGGCGGCCATCTGTGCAATGGCCGCCTGTTTGTTCGTCAGTACACCCCCAGTTCCACTACCACTTGGCGTCGGATTAACAGATGATGCTGTAGATGTAGCCGCTACAACCACGGCTGCCGCTGAAGCAGATCCACCTTGCTGTTGTGTCTGAGCAACTAACTGTAGTTGGCCGGGAATTGCGGTATTAGTGAGTGTCGAGGGACCCGAAACCAACATTACCTGACCCTGCTGTTGTGATGGTTGCAGTAATGAATTAGTCTGTCCAGACTGGCTCGACTGTGGTTGTTGTTGCTGCTGAGAAGGAAGGAGACCTGCAGGGCATGGAGCACGTGAGCGCCACGATGTTCCCATCTGATTCGGTTTGCCTGCGCCTGGAGTCGGATGCTGGAGGGAAAGAAAATAGATAATTATACATAACTCTGTAAAAGGATGCTCACGGGACAAACTAAATAATTCGTAAATTGAATAGGATGAATAGCGTGTGTGGAAAACGTTAACCAAATAAATTTAAATGTAAATTAATTCAAGAGCCCCCAAACCACATTTCGAAATTTAATAAGCCTAACTGACGAAAAAATTGCATACAGCCAGACAGTGGTTTTCCTGTGTAGCAGAGACTAAATGATAAGTGGGATGGAGAGGAGGGATAAATCGAGATCAGAAGCCACAACCTAGAAGCCCTGTTAACGGCATCTGAAACCAGCGAGATGATCACTATATCCACCCGTTGTGGGTTGGCAGACAAGAGATTAGGGCAAAGCAAGTCATAGACTTGGTATTACGGATATAAACAGGATAGACGCGGAGGAGACTGGAGCTAGTTGGCTGACAGTAAGCCTGTTATATCATAGACGTGGTCCATGAAGCAAAGACTTGACCATCAGAATCACTCAGGCTTTAGCCTCGAATTAGTCACCCAGACACAGGGGATGGGTAATAACGCCTCGAATAGCACAGATGGAGTGGAAGGGGTCGAGTGAAATACTTGAACCAGGAAGATAACAGACGGATCCGAGGAAGATGGAGAATCTGATAAGACCTGAGGAAGGAGGATTGCGTAACATTATGGCAGACAAAGTTGCGAAAACAAGGTCAAATAACTCCTATACAACGAAAGGAGACTGCGACCACGCAAAAAGCCACACCATCTTGGTCTTCATATCTTCGATAATGAGTATGATTTAGCAATAAAAAAAAAGATGGAGCCCAATAAAGCTCCTAAGTCTAATCAGGAGTAGATAAAGGATGAAGATTGAGCTCAAGGTGTGTGGTAGATATTTCGCTTCCGAAAATTAATAAATTAAAGCCTACAAATAGAGAACAATATCCTTTAATTTAATTATCAAAAGTGCATTCAAACATCTTATTTACTATATAGTCAATAATATATGTAGCTACCATGATACTATTATAGCAAATGACATAAATAATAAATAACAAGAAAGTAAATCTTATGACAAATTAGGCAAATATATCATGACTAATAGCTATTCACATAATTTAACGACAATTCTTCATTAGTGAGGACGCAAATTAAATTCACATAACATGGCAAAGGGAAGTATGATTAAAAGCCACCACACACAGTTAAACACCATAGTGGTTAAGTTATATCAGTCTCTTCAATTAATGAGAATCAGAGCATTTTTGTAATCTATTGTGAGCCGCCCAAGTGTACACTTTGCAGAAGGAAGTGTTGAATAGGCATGACAATTGCTATATTTAAAGGCAATGTAAGACAAATATATAGTTATATTCATTTGTATAATTTTTATTGGTTATTAAACGTTGCGGATTGAGATGGCTGGAGTGCCGATTGTGCATCCATAAATACTAAATGTTTTGAATTAAATGTGTACAATTTTTCAAGAAGGCTGAAAGACTCAGCCAAGTTAATCACTATACTGAAACTATTGATTTATATGCAATCTGATCTGATCCTTTTGTAGTACCAATATCTCTTCCCTCATGGTAATGCCAATTAATGTTTGGGATTAAAGCCCAAATCTTGATATCGACATTATACGAAGTCATCACGAAACAAAAGCTGTTTAAATAAATCCAATTTTTACAGCTCTTTATCACTACACTTTACGTGTGTCAGTTATTACATTTATGATAATATTATCTTCAACACAGAAAGTAATAAAAAATGCATACGTGACTCCTTTAATTGGCTCCAAGAAACATTAAAATTACAATAAATTCATATTGAATTTCTTGTAAATTTCAGCTATCAGGTAAGAATATTCGATATCTGAAATCCATTGCATTGATTATTTACTTAATTTAGAACACTCAAAAGTTTGATAAAGAGAAACCCTAGAGATAACCACTTCAGAAAATAATTGAATAAAGTATATCAAATCTTCCCATAGTTAAAGGAACAAGTGTATTTCGTCATTACTGTTCGTCCAGAGCATCCGTAAATATTAAATATATTAAGATCTTAATGGTTAAAATATAAAATAAGAAAAAAGTGAACATTCATAAATATCTAATAGTAAGAAGTGGTTCGAACTCGTTCTGGCAACTTAGTCACCTTTTCAGAGACCTGGATGAACACACATTGTCAAGAGTCCTTTGTCATAGTATCAATGATAGTTTCTGGCATCGGATCATAGACTTGGTACATTACGACTCGACACCGGAAATTATCAGGAATACTGAAACAAGACTCAGAAAAAGGTGCACTCATTCAAGTCTCTCTGAAAATATGAGCAATTTGTGAAAATAAGGTCGAACCAATACTGCATCGAAAGAAGATAACGATCGTACTAAAGGCCCCACACCGACTATCTAATAGTTAACTTTTAATATCCGGAAGAGTTACTGGATGAAATCAAATCTTAAGACTACTCCATAAGCACTGATGCGTTTTTTGGTGCCAAAGACCATTGTATGGTACAATACAAGATAAAATAATGTACAATAAAAAAATCAGAATATAAAATGCCGTGGTAATTTATTAATTTAAAGTCTGCTGAGAAAGAGCACGCATATCCTAACATTCATCTGGATTTTATAAGGAATACAACTAAAACTCAACTCAACCCAAAGGTCTAATAAAGACTAGGCTTAGCAAAGCTGCAAGAGAATAAGTGCTCGTCTTGGATACAAAATAATAATTAGATTGATTTATCATAAAACACGACAAAAATGACAAGTGAAAATTGCTTGTCAGCATCATACTAAAGGCGCATTATAGTTTGAAATCTACGAAGTTTCGAATAAGAGTTCCAATCATTGCAAGTGATATGAGACAATAACAATGATACTAGTAGGCCTCAAGTTTACATTGAAATCCACTTACCCTTGCTTCTAAAAAATATTCTCATCCAGTTCGATGCTAATGAGACCCAAGAAGTCGAAACTGCAGTCAACCCTAGATAAGAATAACTTTTGGCAAGCAAGATTAAGTGAAATTCAATGGTATTGAGGCCTATTCATATAGTGAAAGATTCAAACTATCAATCATTTATGACCTTGTACAAGCTAGGATGAAGGTGTTATCTAAGACAAACTGATAGCTAAGAAATGAATATAAACTCTAAAGTCGTCATGAAATCCTTCTAGACCAGTTTTTTGTTCCTATATTAGGCAACAATAATTGGTTATAATCAAACTACAATAATAATAGTCAGCAAGCCAAAAATTCTGAGAATGAAAGTGCAGCCATGACTCATACGACTCTTTTCTGTTTTCTAAGCATTAAAAAATGCGGTACCCTCTACAAATATTTAAAAATCATGCTTTTATCTATAACTCAAAAGATATTCGCCAGTGAACATCTGCACCAATATTTTCGCCTTCAAATTCGTCGGGTTTTAACCTATATGGGAATTTTTTGGGTTAATTGATAAAGCTATTATGTAGGCTCCCTCGGATGCGTGTCGGGAAACGAATAAACTTTGAATTAAATGAATCCAGTTGAATTCTTGAACTAAATAAATCGATGCTTCAATCAATAGCAAACTTGATGAAGCTTGAAGAGAATCTTCCATAAACGTTTTTTCAGGACGCAAAACCCGAGATTTAATCTGGGAAAGTCAGTAGTTTAATGCTGGAAATCAGCATGATTATGCCAGAGAACGCATAACTAGGTACGCTTCACATGGCCTCCCTGTCACTATAGGTCGCGAAAACGAAGTAAAGCCAGGACTAAAGTAAATGAAAATGCGTCTAAACAAAAGCTCACACTATCTTGGTCCCCATATATATGTTTCACTCTGACAAATTGAGAACATTTAATTTCGAAAGTAGTTTCCTAAGTTAGATAATTGATAAAATCAATAGAACTCGAAGCTATTCGAAAAGGCGCAATTAATTTAGCTGTCCACATCAGATATTTTCAACCCATTATGGATGCTCTCACTATTATGCTTCGCGTCATGTGATTCAAAGATATACTGAAATAATAGCACCAGTTTTAATGGCATATAAAAATTTGCCATATTTTCACTATTTGATCTACAAGCTACCTATAAAGTCTCGGACATGATATATCAAACAATTCAAAGGTGGTAAACTCTAATAACAGCATCGATCCCATTGAAGTCAATATGAACGTATGAAATGGGCTGAGGCCTTTCCACAACAATTCAAGAAAATAGAATTAATTCAAAATACAAACTGTATATAAATGTATAATATAGGGACTGAAGAAAGATAATGAGGGGACGAAATTCCAAGAAACAAATTGCTGGAACTCATGGAAAGATAATGAAACCAGGAAATAGAAATTACCGGAAAAACAACTACTGAAACTATAAGATGACGTATCCAAAAAGCACCCAATATTATATTGTTAGAAAGCCAATTACAAATGAAAATAGTTGCATAACTAAAAGATTTTGTATTGCAATAAAGTAGAAGTGGTTCAGACAAAATGTGGAAAATTCACAAATTTGGGCCATAAGAGTAACTATGTAGCATGACGAAAGTGTATAAATAAAAAAATATAAATGGAGGCTAAGAAATTCAAAGAAATCATTTGTTTATCGAAAGACACTTTTAAAAAGCACTTGTCTTAATGGTATCTTGATCATAAAGTATACGATGGTAAAATCCTGTAGTTATATGGCCCATGAAAATAGCAAAATACTGTTAAAATGTGAATAAAAAGTCAAGGGTGTGAATGAGGAAGTAGTCGCAGAGTTAAATTAAATCCCTAAATTAAACGGCTATTTGTAAACTCAAAATAGGATCTAAAATTAATTAGACACGATTGGCAGATAATTAGAGGAAATGAGGCTTAACTATTGAGATGGAGGCTTTGAAGCAGGAAGCGTGAAGATAAAGTGATTATCAAATGACGGGAAGTGCAAGTTATGTTGAGAACTTTGAAGATG